CCCGTAGGATAGTGGTTAAAGTAAGTAATATATATATATTCTGTAGATAATTGCATGGGAGACCAGGATTTCAAAAAAAACATCAGCACAGACTTTCACATAACTGCTGAAGTTGGAGCTAAATAGGACAACAGTAGTTAGTCAGGATTGAACTCATATGCTTGTTTCATTGTAGCTATTAAACACCATTTTAATCTTTGATTTATTGTTAACTAATAGTGGGAACAACCATTAAGATTAATGTCAAAACCAATGATATCTCAGTAGGTTTTAATAGTATAATACTCGTATTTCAATAATTTGTTTCATATTTTAAGACTCTTAAATGTTTGGTTTAAATATGATTTTAAACCAATTTTATGTCCAATGTAGGAGCACAACTATATAATCTGTGTGTATAAAGGAGATCAGAAAAGTGACAGAAGTACATCACTTCCCTCCCCCCTTTTATTTTGTAACACTTCTAAATAGGATGGATCCATATAAGAACTGCAGTTCAGTGGTAAAATACTTCTTAATTGAATCTCCTGAGGATGGCTCTATGAGACGAAACATGTAGTGACACTGTATTTTAGACCGATATAACTCAATTTTACACAATAAAGTGTGGGCAAGTTATTTTGGGAATTGTTGTGTATGACAGGAGTTAACCTTTATGAGCCAAAGGACACTGTATGGCGACCCTTAAAGTAAAGCCGAGTGGCCGAAAGACACCGTATGGGTATGCGCAGTCCACGCGTGCACACAGTGTTTTAAAATCTAATTTTAAGATAGAAATTCTTGTTCTACTTACTTTATTTTTGGACACCAGCTTTATAAGTAGACTGTCTTCCCTCCTGCATCATCTAACAGAATGTTGCATGTCACTGAATGCAGAGTCCGACATCACAATTTATGCACTTTGTCCGTAATTAACTCTGTTTTCCACGCGAAGCACGCACATGCAATGTTAGTCTCGTATTAGCAGGAAGTAAGCCAGTGATGGTGAGTGGTGTCCTCTATTCATAATGCTTATAAAACATTGCAATTTCAACTATGCACCATGGCCCCTTTGAAGGAGTCGAAATTCAGAGGCCGCTCGTAAATCACACCATTCAGAATGCATTACAGTTTATTCTGAAGGGGCGTGGAAGCAAGTGGTATGAGGTGATATTCCAAGAACTGCCTCTGTGTGGCTAGTCCGACATACCTGAATAAACAGAGTTTCATAAGGCAATGTAGGATAAGAACTCCATACTCTGTATACAAGAAGCCCACTGACTGGAGAATGTGCAATGAAAACAAACATTCTCTCTCCTCCAGATAACACATAGTCAGACCGTGAGTCAGAAGCATGCATTTATACTGCAGGAAGGTTTTGTGCAGAAGCTTTATGCATTTTTGTAGACAGACGCTCAAAATTGGGGAAAAATTTTTTTTGGAATCAGTGTAACAATTTTTACAGGTTCTAAAATCTGTAAATTACAGTATCTGGTTCTATATACTTTCTAGATAAAAGTAGCGTTTATTTCGTTCGTTTATCACAAAATTGTAGAAATCACAGCATTTTGAGTAACATGATTACAATTTTTATTACTCTACAATGGCGGGCATTTAAATTAACTCCATCCCGCTGCCACTACCGGAATTTAAATGGCCCGTCCCATAAAGGTTAATGTGAAAATTTATATATAGTGTTAAACAGCTTGTTAGACTGGTATTAAAGAAAACTTGTAATGTGTGTGGACTCATGGGTTTTCAGTTCTGGTACTAGTCCAGATTGATGTAGCCTGAGTTGAGGCAAGAAACATCTGCCTGTGCTTGCTGGCTGCTTCATGCTGGTTTATTCTTCAGCTCTGGAGGTGACATGTTCCTCCAAAATGTCAGCTGACTTTCAACAGACTACACGGCTTTATATCCCAGAAGATATAACTCGTCATATCTATCCTGCTTGAGTGCCTGAAAGACTTTCATGTAGCCTTTCTATAATTGTGCTGTATAAAACTTTCCTCGTCATTTGTCATGAGGGTGCATTCTATGTATGCCCAGCATTGTGAAATGTTGGTTTTATAATGTCAAATGTAATGAAATTATGCTGTAATAGTGGCAGATTGTTTGCATATTGAAATATTGAAGCATCATGTTAAGGCACACCTGTAACTACAGTATCACAACTTAAAATCGCTCTTAAAAACAATAATTTAATTGGAAATAAATTCTGTATGGAATTACGAGGGTCGTACTGATAGTCATGAGCAACAATTTTTTGTAAAGTAACATGCTTTATTATTGACAAACCAAATACACCACCTCAATCTACACACCTTTCTTTATTTTTACACATAATCGCCACTTCTTTGTACGACCACTTCGAGGCTCATCTTCGATGCTGGTGTTCCCATCTTTAAAATGTTTCACCCATCTTCGAACACTGCTCACACCCATGCACACACTTCCATAAGCACGCTGAAGTCTCTGGTGAATAACTGCAGGAGGGATTTTCTCTTTCACAAGAAATCCGATGACAGCACGCTGGCAAAATGACATATTGTTAGCGTCCATTTGTCTATAATCTGTCTAAATTGCAACACTTTTATTTTTCACTTCGATACACTCTCTAACACTACATGTTTCAGCCTCAAACAGCCATCTTCAGGTGTTTTTTTGACAGATATTGAATTAAGATTCTCTCAAAATTGTGTCAAAACTGCTACACTGTTTCACTGTTCCAGTTCATTTTAAAAAACCACACACTGTAGTCTTTTTAATTAAAATGAGATAAAATTCTTTTATAATTTGTTACTTATTGTTTTGCTTCACTCAGAGTGTCGTCATTTCCGTAAAATATAAGATGTTTTCCTTGGCAGCTTGTTCCTCACGTTAGTTATGTTCTCCTGGTTTGTGTTTCCTCCTCAATGTGTGGTGTTGCAACAGGATGCTGAACTACAGAGACATATCGTTGTCAGCCATTTTGTTAGGAGTGCTACTGGTCACGTGATGCAAGCTATTGATGTCACAAGACACTCAAGGTTAACACAACAGCTAGTTCCACCTACCACCATACTCTCTTTCGTCTGCTGTTCCCAGGTCGCATGCAAAAAAAAAGTTGCTCATGTCTTTCGGTACAACCTACGTACATTATCATTTAAATGGCTGTATAATATTACGTTGGTTACATGTCTCCATCTTCCATTGTTGTTCACGACATGTTTCAGCCATACGTGGCCATCGTCAGGTGTCTGTCACTATGTTAAACTGTTGTACTGTACTGCATGTCACAATTGCATGTGGCCAGTTATTGGTACTCCTTAATTAAAATTAAAAATTCAGTTTAAAATAGGTCAGTCCTATTAAATTTAATAAAAACAGTTAATTCAAATCTTCTAATGGGACCTATTAGCACTATCTTCAGGAGGGTGGTTGTGTGCATGGGTGTTGGTGTGAATGTTGATGTCTCTTATATAATATGCCCTTTTGGCTGTAGACCCATTGTTGTTTACGTGGTGTGTGCATGCAGCTGAATGTTAGACACTTTGAAGCGTGAAGTTCATGTAAATACTATTTAAAAATTAGGTTCGTGAAGTGTAGAAAACTCATTACGTCTCCACTTAATGCTATTTATTCTGAGAATCGTGTTAAATACATAAATAAGGTCTGTGTAATTAGAAGTACTCTCCTGGCATTTCCTTGTAGGGACTGATGAAAGCTGTGAAGACCTCAGGATAGTCAGTTCCCTGCTTGAGCCATCTTGCTTGATGTTACAGGTATCAAATTTGGCATCCTCCATGGTGCGCCCTCAGTCCATTGAGCACGCCTTCAGTTTGTGGACTTGGGAAACTGTTGCTAGATTAAGGCTGCACATCTTGGACCAGCCAGAACATGTAGTGTGGACAGCTATGGCCAATCCTGCAGTAGCATTTGCTAATGTTCCTGACATGGATTCAGATATCAGGCTTGAAGTGATTGTGGGTGGTGTGAAGGACAGGCAGCCGATAGCTTCCTACGTAGCTGCACTGGCTACTACATGGGGCCATAGTGTGCCACTAATATGTACCAAAGGCTTCAATCAACTTCAGATTCTCTTGTGCCATTACAAGTATGATGCCATCCTCACCGTCCTGCAGTTTTATATCCCACTGTTCCTGAATTGCGAGGAGTCCTTGATTGAGTGTGACAGGTAAGTAATTGCAGTCAGACTTGGTCAGAGCAACCTCAATTGTAGTGACATCTTGGCTATAGCATCTAATATTGAGTGGTACTAATTACATCTCCATAGAACCTTTGATTTTCTGCCTCTTGGAAAAAGACATAATACCCTTTCTGTCAGCAACCCTTTGTAAAAAGTACTGAGTTACTTTGAGTGCTCTAACTTCTCAGCAGGGCTTTCAATAGGCGAGTCAAATGAAAACCTTAAATATTTTTTTGAGTTTTATTTATTGTGCACAAGTGGTACAAAGCTGTATCACTTTTCAACATAATCTCCCCCATACTCAATGCAAGTCCTCCAGCACTTACAAAGTGCATGAATTCCTTTAGAAAGAAATTCTTTTGGTAGTCCGCACAACCCCTCATGCACCGCTTGGCATACCTCTTCGTCAGAACGGAACGTCTTTCCTCCCATTGCTTCTTTGAGTGGTCCAAACATATGGAAATCACTTGGGGCAAGGTCTGGTGAGTATGCCAGATGAGGAAGACACTCAAAATGCAGGTCATTGATTGTCGCAACTGTTGTACGGGCAGTATGGGGCCTTGCATTGTCATGTTGCAAAAGGATAAAACTTCTTCAGTTTTGGAGATGAGGAATGGCATCATTCCTTGCTTGCTCTCTTCATTTCCGTTTGGTGGAAGTGAACCCAGGTTTCATCCCCAATAATGATTTTTGCAAGGAAGTCATCACCTTCTCATTCAAAGCGCTGCAGAAGTTCTTCACAAGCATCAATACGTCAGTCTTTCAATTCAGGAGTCAGCTGCCGTGGCACCCATCTTGCAGACACTTTGTGAAACTGGAGCACATCATGCACAATGTGGTGTGCTGAACCATGACTAATGTTTAAACTTGCTGCAATTTCATTCAATGTCACTCGGCGGTTTTCCCTCACTATAGCTTCAACTGCTGCAGTGTTCTCTGGAGTCACAACTCGATGTGCCTGACCCGGATGAGGAGCATCTTCCACTGAAGTCACACCATTTGCAAACTTCCTACTCCATTCGTACACTTGCTGCTGTGACAGACATGCATCACCATACTGAAACTTCATTCTTCGATAAATTTCAATAGGTTTCACACCTTCACTACACAAAAACCGAATAACAGAACGCTGTTCTTCCCTGGTGCAAGTCTCAAGTGGGGCAGCCATCTTATACTGGTGCTATGACGGTGTTCGTACATCTGCACTATGCTGCAACCTACAGGCCATTCTGCACGCTGTTTTTAGCACACTTACCAACTTACAGGATAATGGCGCAAAATTTCGATTTTTTATTACAGATTTAAGGTTTTCATTTGACTCACCCTCATATAATGAATGAAATGATTATAAATGGTGATACTCAGAGAACTCTAAAAGTTACAATTTAAAAGAATTCTTCTATCTCACTGCACTCTTTCATTTTCCTACCTCCACTTGTTCATTAGTTATCACTAGGGCCCAGATTTTGATGACCTGAAAATATTTAAAAAATGACCTGTAAAATGGCAGAAAAAAATCCAGAAAAATTACCTAAAATATGACCCAAAAATGTAATATGCAGGGCCTGGATTTTGATGACCTGAACATATTTAAAAAATGACCTATAGAATGACCGAAAAAATCCAGAAAAATGACCTAAAGGAGAAAGAGAAAGAACACTTCGCTTCCATATTATTCACATTTCAGAAAACATATGAAGAAAAATTCCCTAAAATGACAAGAAA